TTCTGCCTCAGGATCCCAGGCGAGTGGAGGACCCATCCACAGAGCAGCCAGAGCCAGGAGGGGAAAATGAAGGAGATGTGTTTCAGCAGAGGGACATCTCTGAGCTCCAACTGTAACCACTAAAGGGGTTTGAGTCCTTCCCACCACTGGAAGGTGTGTGGCTAAGACATCTGTGTGGTTTAGGTCCTGGGGTAGTGGTTTCTTAATATAACCAGAGTCATTCTTGTCCTCCCTGTAGGTGTCCTGGGGGTAGGTGTGGCCATGTGGCTCTGCCTTCTTGTGATCAGCCTTCATCTCTATAATTTGTAGAGGGGGGTGGGGGAGGAGCAGGGAGTTGATAAACAGAAGAGAAGGAAGAAAAGTCAGGGCAAGATGAGGAGACAAGAGAAGGCAAAAGAAGATAGGTGTAGGCGTTTTCTGGAGCCCCGTTTCTTCACCTGGGACTTGGCTGGGCTCTCCAGTGGCTCCCTTGCACTCTGCGGATGCTAGATATACATTCCCCTTAGGACCAGTTGTCGGCAGAACGATGCAAACACACCAGAAACCCTCATAAATCAGCAGAGGTCACTGCCAAGAGCTTTGTACACTCGCTGTCCCTGGCAGTGATAAACTCATCGCATTTGGGAAATGGCCAGAGACCCTGAGTCTGATTTTAATTCTCATTCCCAGAAACATCTCAGCCCCAGGTTCACCCACCCCCTGTTTACTGTCTTTGTGTTTCCTAGACAAAGCTGGAAGGAACACGTTTTCCTGACATCAAAGGCAACATTTCTTTGTCTTGGGGAGGAGGAACAGGACAAGGGAGTCACCAAATCTCTAGCCTGTGGGAAAGCCAGGTTCTGGCCAGAAAGAACCTGGAGCCACGTCCCGCATTGGGCCTGGGAGATCTGCAGAGTGTCAAAAGCCTTGTTTTTGTCAGATCTGAATGCTAGGAACACTCTTGTTCCTCTCTCTCTCTGTCTCTCTCTCCCTCTCTCCCTCCCTCCCTCTCTCCCTCCCCCTCCCCTTCTCCCTCCCTCCCCCCCTCTCTTTCTTTCTTTCTGGGGGGCATGTGTGGGCATGTGTGGGAACAGCCCCCTCCAGCAGTCTGCCGTCACTGGCTACTTTCCCTCAAACTGTCCTTACCTGGGTATATGACTTTGTAGTTGGTCACTTAGGAAAGGTAATAGCAGTGTTTACGCTCTGTCCTGAATGGACGCTGATGCATGCTCCTGGAGAATGAGCCACTGCAGGCTGCTTGCCCTGGGATGTCATACCTGCTCTGCGGGATCGTAATCTGCCAGCTCTTCCCTTCAGCAACATTTGGGCTGACCCCCTGCCTTGAAGAGGCATTTTCCAGTAGATGAGACAGGCACCTTTTCCCAACCAGTAAGATCAACTCCAGTCCCAGTCACACCCATGTGTAGCCTCTGTTCTTGGGCACCGTTGTAACCCTTAGCTCAAATGGCTATGTGCACCTCCATGAAAAGTCTGTCTTGTCTATAGATTCTAAGCTATATGGCAACAAAGTTCTCTTTATCTTATTCAGACTATAACCTCATGATGTGTACTCAGTGCCTGGTACCTACTAGATGCTCAGCAAATAGCTAGTGACCGAAACCATGATGAAACATTTAAACATCTGCCTTTTCCTGCCCTATTTCAGTTGATAAGGTCTGGATTTTTTGTTAATGAACCAAAATTTTCCTGACTACAATGAGGTCATTGGAATTAAGCAGAACAGGGTTGAAGTTTGTTGCTGAGGCCCGAAGAGCCGGGCTAGGAGAGGCCTCCTTGTGCTCTGTAGAGAAGAGGGTTGTTGTGAAGCATTACATACCCAGCATTTAGATTCCTAGAAGCCAGAAGAAGCAGAGATGCATTGTTTTAAAGAGACAGGCCTTTGCAGACAACTCAGGTACCACCTGACTGGGATGATGCTTGATAAGTAAAAGATAAAGAAGAAAGGAAGAAAAGAAAAGACAATAAGTCACGGTCACTCAGAGTTAGCATTTGCACCTATGACTTTAATGGTAGAGCAATTTAGACATCAAATAAAAGCAACGACCAATGGCACTCCTGGGTCTGAGGCTGAGAAGGGTGTTTGATCTGAGAGGTTGACACCCCTTTGTGTGGTGTGTGAGCCTTACCCTCTCTTCTTGCCTACAGAATCAATAAGCAGACGCTTAGGCCAAACATAAACTAAAGCAAGCACGGAGCCTGCAAACTTGACCGTTAGACCCAAGCAAGCATTTCAATGAACCAAGATGCTGTGCACTAGCTCGTGTTTTTGTTTCTGTAACAGACTACTTGGGGATTCCACAGAGTAGAAACTTTTACTTAGTTCGGTTTTAGACCCTGAAACTCTAAGATCAGGCAACCCCATCTGTTGGGGCCCCTGAACTTACTTCTCCTGTCTAAATAAAGTGCTTCCTTGGTGGCCAGCACCCCTCAGCTTCCCTGCTCTGAATCCATCAGTCCCCAGCAGCCAATGTTCACTCTCTCTGCTTTAGTGAGTCTGAAATGTTAGCTTCCATGAACGAGGAGAGTCAGGCAGCATTTGTTATTCTGTGCCTGGCTTATTTCATTACACCCAGGTTTATCCACACCATGGTAGATGATAGCTTTCCCGCTCAAGGCCGAAAAGTAGCCCATTGTGGGGGTGGGGGTGGGGTATGTGTAAGTGTGTGTGTGTGTGCTCTATGTGTGGTGTGTATGGTATGTGTGGGTGTGTGTAGTGTGGGTGTATGTATGTGTGCTGTGTGTATATGTGGTGAGTATGGTGTGTGTGTATGGTGTGTGTGTTGTGGTATATGTGTGTGTGTGTGCTGTGTATGTGTGGTGTGTGTGTATGTGTGGTCTGTGTGTGGCATGTGTATATATGTATGTGTGGTATGTATATGGTGTATGTGCATGTGTGGTGTATGTGTAGTGTATTATGCAGGGTGTGTGTGTGTGGTCTATGTATGTGTGAGGAGGTGGTGT